GAAAGGTGCAGATGCACTAAAAATGATACGATAAGTCTCTTCTAACCTCCTCTTCAGCTTTCTCAATTTTTCACGACTGAACAGCAACGCTTCTTCGCACATTACGATTCGCAACGCCATGAGCAACGAACCGAACCTTCAAGTTGCTACATCACTCTATACAAGGATCCAACAGGGACTCCGATCAACTTAAAAACGAGCAGCCCATACAACAGCAAACTTCGTCTCCTTGCCATTTACCTTCACCATCCTCAACATTCTTTCCACGCTCTCCGGAGCAGCAATGACAATCTCACCCGCAGTCAACACTTAATCATCATTATTGACCAACGATTACGATGAGGTATTTCATGCCCCCACAGGATGCCGTACATCATTTTTCGACTCCCAACAGCCCGCTAATGGAACACAACTCCACAGCAGCCGAAATCAAGACACCGCATTAAAACCGCAACCTAAAGTTGATAAGTCAAAACGTTTGAAGCAATATTCTCGCAGCCCAGAAGCTCTACTTCATGGAATACAGCACGGCCTCAACTTCGAAACTCAAATTTAATTTCACAAAAGACAGACGGAACCTGCAAGGACACAATTACTAAACTCTTCAGCACTAGTTTTTCTGCTTTCATCGATGCCCCCAAAATCGGTATTGATTTCCAACTGACAGCACGGCAATTCCATACTTATCATCATTATACACCAGCAACAGACGACCTTCATGTCAGCACAACTCACCACCTCCATTCATGCAGATTTTCAGTTCCCAGTCAACGCCCAATTTTTCACAACCAGTTCAGCGCCTTCAGACACATATCTTCGAACACATAACACACTACCCCCCCCCCCCGCAGCACTACCCCCAATCAATTCCAAAAGGTATCAAGCGACACTTACGAACCCCGTAATTGAATCGACATTGCAGTCAACTCAGCCATCCCTACAGCCTATTTTCGACAGCAGAGCTTAGGTAACAAGGACATGGACCAGAAGCCAGCCGACCCAATATTTAGAAAGAACACAGCCCTCATAAGACCACATCAGGAAGTGCATATGACCAACTCAGGACACGCATCGACAACCATCCTAACATTAGTGCAACTAGCCCAAGCAACATTAACGAACGATATAATCAGCTGCCGTCAGCATCAGCCTAAACAAATGACCCAGCCAGTATTCAGCCAACAATCCTCATCTCAGCATGGATATCAACACAGATCATATCAGACCTTACCAGCTTTCATAGCAACTCAACACGTCACACCCACGCAAGGAGCAATGCAACCCGACTTCAGCAATCAGCAAAATATGTCAAAGACTTTCAGGAAATCAGTCCCAATTGTCAAGCCATTTGATTTCGACAGAAACCCGCAACATTGGTTAGATTGGATCGGACTCTTCAACACGACAATCAAAAACACGGACATGTCCCAATCGGAGAAGCTGACTCATCTACATCAACTTGTCTTCGAAGATAATTAATCTTTCATCCGCGATCAATGTACAAATCAGCACTCCAACGCCTGGAAAATGATCTTGAAAACCCGACGAAGACAGTGACATCCTTCCTTCGACGACTAGACAGCATCAATCGCCCGACTCTACGACACAACAGAAGCTACGAAGATCTCACCAACTTCCTGCAGACAATGGTTGACACCATGACAACGGTTGGATTCCATCACCATCTCCACCGTTCAGCGAACGTTCAGACAGTTCTTGTAGTTCAGACAGAATTTTATTTTTGGCATTTATTTTTGGCACTTTAGTAAACAGACAGGGCAGTATGCAAAGCAGACAAATTCTTGAAGCAAATGTTTAAAAAGTGGTTCAAATGAAACTAATTGATGAAAATTAAAAAACAATTTTCATCCTCACCCCCACTCGCTATGTTAAGTAAAAATTGAGGCTCTTATACAGTTTCCCATCTTTGATTTTTTTCTGAAATTTAGTATTTGAAGTCTATCAAAAATGAGTTTCTATTTTATATACTGTATTAAAACGTGTCAGCGCAACGCAAGCAGGTGAACAAATTCTTACCACAATTCTTACCAGCAAAATGTCTTGTGAACAAATTTTGAACAGTTTTAAGTTGTAACTTTACGAGGGGTGAGAAAACTGGAAAAAATCCAAAAATGTTATATTTTGCATATGGCCTTTCGGTTATATCCCCACTAAATGAATACACTTACCAATAATTGGGATGGTGTGAAAAAGAAGCAAACGCTATATTTTTCCCTATGTAAAATTAGCTAAAATCCAGAGCATTGCCTAACCTTGAAAGTGGAACATGCAAATCACATGACAATTCAAGACGCACTTAGACTCAAATATGTGAATTTTGTTTGAACGTAATGGTAGAAAAAATTGAAGAAAAAGAACCGTTAGAGGCAAAAAAAATCAAAAAATACTTTATTTTAACCTACCTCATATTAAAAATCTGCCTTTATTTGTAATATTGATCCAATTTTTTAACCTTATTGTTCCCAATATTAAAAATGGGGAGAAATTTTGTATTCGGGTGTGTTTTTCTGTATTTTCAAAATTTTCAAAATATCTTAAAAAAATTTCGAACGTTTCAATATTGAAAAAATTATCTATTTTTTAAAGCGAACACTACTCCATAGACCCTATAAGGCAGTCGGAACATTCAGGCTTCGAGCTTAAGGAATTATTCCCTGATTTACTTCTACAAAATCTAAAAATAAAACTATAGCCTACTTCCCATTTTCTAGCCACTCATTCAATTTGAGCTTCAATTTGTGGGGTCTGTTTCTTTATACGGCCCAAAATAAATAATTTAGATGATTTTGACAATTTTAACAATAGATAATATTGACAATTTTGAAAACGGGAATAAATGAGATCAATATGCTCGATTCTGATTGGTTAAAAATGAAACCAGCCGAGACAAAAGTTGGAAATGCTCATTATACCAAAGCTCATTTCGCCGGAAAATACAAACATGACCAAAAACATTGCTATTTTATCACATGACCGGTACTACTATGATAATCTCTTGAAAATAACCAGGTCTCTGTAGCATAACACACCTAGAGCTCTCAAATCCTTTAATAATTTTGATTTTGTCATTCAAAAAGATGTCGCAGTATATTTTCAAACAAATTTTATATTTAGTTACTTAATAAAATTTCCTCCTCACCATTTTAAGGTGGAAAATTAAAAAAACGCAAAAAATTAAAAAATAAATGAGTTTTGATGACAAATAAGGTAACCCAATAATGTTTGTTAAACTATAAGATAAACATATACGAGCAATTTTCTTGATATAAGCAATGAATTAATTATTATTTTGAATCTGAAAAGTTCCAGACTGAACATATTTTGCTAAATTTTTGAAATGAATAATTTATACAAAATAATTGGTCAAAATTATACCATGCGAAATGCATGCGCGACCTGTCTATCATAGTAGTACCAAAAGACCAACTAAATAGTGATAGAAATTGCTCAGTTTTGGCCCGCCCCCTAACGCCCCAAACTCTCAATAAAAACTTAAAACGGTTGAATATTATTTGTTTTGCGTTTTATATTTTGTCACGGCGCATAGACAATTCAGCCTGAGACCATTCAACCAGTTTAACAAAAAGCTACATTCGAAAGAAAAAATCGGAATTAGAGTTATTTCTCGATAACCTTCTCTAAATTTCGTATTGAGTCCTACCCTCTGTTGGTAAGCTCGCAACACGTTGGCGCGACTGCGGCGGTCACTATTTTGGCTGAATTGTCTCTGGCTGAATTTTGTGCATACTTTTGGCTGAATTGTCTGAATTTCACATTGGCTGAATTCTTTTTGGCCGATTTGTCTGGACGCGATCGTCACAGTTATTTTGGTTAATAAAAAATTTGACGTGCGATTTTGCATTTTTGGGCCGTATAACGGAAAGCCCAATTTTTGGAAAAACGATTATCGATTTATAACAACGTATGCTGAAAAAGTATAAAGCCTCATCAGTCCAGTAGAATTGAATATTGGGTTCTAGGAAATTAGACACGCTTCATCTTGCAAATAAACACGCTTCATCTCGCAAATATTGGGGTGTTATAAATCAGTATAATATTAGGTTCTAGGCAATTAGACTAGCGAAATAGACGATGATAAAAAAACGGAATTTAGACGACTCACAAACCATGATTGTAGCTAAATTCCGTGTTTGATCATCGTCCAATTTGCTTGACCCCAATATTCAATTCTACTGGACTGATTAGGCTTTATACTTTTTCAGCATACGTTATTATAAATCGATAATCGTTTTTCCAAAAATTGGGCCAACCGTTATACGGCCCAAAAGTAGAATCGAATACTTCTTAATATTATTTTGCATTTTTTGGGCCGTATAACATTAACGGAAGGCCCAATTTTTGGAAAAAACGATTATCGATTTATAACAACGTATGCTGAAAAAGTATAAAGCCTAATCAGTCCAGTAGAATCGAATATTGGGGTCTAGGAAATTAGACAAGTAAATTAGACGACGATAAAAAACGGAAATTAGACGACCCACAAAACTACAATCTTGAGAATTAGATGAAAAACAGGTGTGACAGAGGGGTCCCAAATCACGATGAAGTACAAATATGATAGTTGGGTCCCAAGAAAAATCAAGTATGATAGATGGGCCCTGCATTTTTTGAGCAAACTTCAAAAACACAAGTAAAGAAATGCGAATCAGGTTTTCGAAGATTTTAAGGCCTAAAAAATTTTCTTCAGGGACCCATCTTATCTTTCGGGACCCAACTATCATATTTGTACCCACGATAATTTTGAGCGAATATAGCAGTTAAGTAAATCAATGGACGCCTCTCGATCATTTTGAAGACTTTCTCAAACCTACCGCATTTCATGTTTTTTATGTCATGATAGAGGCAAAAAATTGAACATTTTTGAAATACAGTCTTCAACCCTCTATCACATTTGTACCCAATACCAATAAACAGGCTTCATTCAAAAAGTTTAAGAGGTGAAATAACTTTTTACTTACCAATCGATTGGTCAGTCAATCCGTAACTCCACTTATCCCTGGTTTGGCACGCTTCGGTTCAACTCACGAGTTTTTGATGAAGAGTTTTTTGATGAAGATGATGATGGTACTTACATCAACATTGATACCATGTACAGCATTAGCAGTCTATCTCAAGTACAATTGTGGCGAATTAACAGGTCGGTCAAATAAAAACACGTGATGAATGATTCATTTTAAATGGGGGAATTGTTTTGCGTACTTTTTTAAAGAAAAGGCAGCTTTAAAAATGTGATAAAAGAAAAGCAGCTATTGAACTAACAAGCCGAAACTTTGGCGTAGCTTTGAAAGGTAAGAATTTGATTAAGGATTTCTTGATAAAAGCACTGCTAGAATGCGATATACTCGAGTAGAAACCGTTTATGAAATAAGACTATGACTGAAATCGAGTTTTTAACTAGATGTAACGCGAGCCCTGAAGTAAAATTGAATGGTAATCAATCTTCATCGTTTCCGCTTAACTAGATGGCGTCATTGAAAGTGGAAAATAAAAAATAAGAAGTATATAAACAAAATATGAGGCGTGATCAAAAAAAAATTTCACTAACATTCGATAAATTTTGTAGAAATCCGACATTGGCCGAGTGTCATCCGAGTCAATTGTTCACCATCGACACATGGAAATTTGTACATGTATGTTTGTATTTGTTCGACTGAATGAGCAAATTACTATAATACTGAAAAAAAATCTTTAAAAATTTGTCGGAGTCATGTTATAAAAGCAAATTTAATTGACGAATATCCAACGTGGTTTTTAAAATTCCCATTTTTTACAGAAAGAACCATTTCATTGTAAGTTAATAGATATTCTTGTCTAACGACGCTTCTGTCAAAAGTTATTTTATCAAATTCAGTTAACTTTTCATATAACATTATGAAAATAAAGTTGTTCAAATTATTCGTGGATTAATATGGTGTTTTTTTTCTATAAAAAAAAGAAACGTTTTATTTAAATTGCCGTAGATATGGAAACTGAAATGATGTCTGCTGTCTGACCTGTCTGCTCATGTGGTTGTCTACTTGCTGCTAAGTAACTGACGTTCGGTTTAGTAGTAGTAATCTGTGATCAAACTCATGACGCAATGGAGTATATCGCATTCGCGAACTGAACTACTGCACTTTTAACGGTTCGGATTTCTAATCCGCCTTGTAAAACTAACCGTTTAGTGAGATTAAATTTTTCACATGATGATCCCGTTCCGCGCATGATTTCCATTTATTCCATAAAAACGAAGTGCATATTCCAGAGAAACAAAGAAGTTAACTTCTTTTTATGAAAAAAAAACTATGGTATCTATAAATTTGGAGTCAATTAACATATGCCTATTACATTCTGCCCTCAACAAAAACAGAGAAAAGCAGACAACAATAGTCCTGTTACTAGTAAACTTACGATACGATAATGATAGCTATAAATAGAACATTAAGTATACGTCATGTCGTATTTGGTTCCGGCAAAAGTAACACTTACTAGAGGTATGATACCATTGACCTGCGAATCATGTCATGGGAAACTATTCAAACCAGAAAAGCAGCTGATTAGCTCAATAAAGCGAAACAAAGATTAGGAAGGAAATAATTTACCAGAAATAATGAACCATTTCTGATCAAAATTTTAGTTTTTAGAAGGTCTAAACAACTGATTTAATCAGTCTAGACATGACGACAGAGCTAGACCAGACTACTACAGGAATGATAGCTTGATTATACAATCGAAACAGTCGGTTGCATAACTTCGCGCGTCTTTGCTTATAATTGTTACGTCACGATAGTAAACACTCGACTCCGATTTGGTTATGCATCTACTCTACTCTATCCAGGCACATTGTGATAGACAGACTAAACTCTACTCGCGGCTTAAAGCCTTTTAGTTTTCATTCAGTGCCATTCAGACAAGATACAAAACAAACAAAATGAGAATGGGATAACTAACTCGTTATACTAACTATCTCAGGGGGCTTTTCTCATGATGAGGGACCGAAAGATGGAAAAATTCAACCAATCATAATCAGAAGTTACGGATCTACTTAACAATCCCCCCCCCCCCTATGGTATCCTCTAAAGAATCTCCACCCCTATGTATAAATACAGTAAATTAGCACTAAAGCTTTGTATTTCCCCCCCCCCCCCCCCCAATATACCAAGTTAAGATCCTCCACCCCAGCGTTCATTTTAATTTAAATCTACTTAGCGCTGCATGTAAAATGCTCTATTCTGATTGGTTGAAAATTCGAACTCAGAACCAAGTTAACATCCTCGCCCCTAAACGGATTTTGGGTGGGGGGGGGGGGATGTTATGTTGACTTGGTTTGATTTTTGCACTGAACCCAAGACAAAACAAGACTGCTCGTATCAAGGCGAAGACCTGAAAGTTCGGACTCCTTTTAAGGGTTGAGCTCAGGACAACAATACTTTTTGAATGATTTAAAAATATTCCATCAAAAGTTGCTAGGTTAACAGTCGAATCTTGTCTGTAGAATAAAAACCAACCCGAGCACAAATTTTCCGTTATTTTCTTCGAAAGTCGTCGGAACACTTTGTAGTAGTTAGAACATAGTTGAAAGATGCCCGAGGGAAAAAGAACCCGGCCTGAGGACACGAAGTGTCCGATGGCAGCTCTTTTGCCCGAGTCCATCTTCAACTATGTTCTAACTGTTGAAGAGTATTATGTTTTTGCTCTTTCTGTTTGTTTTTGCAGCTCTTTTTTCATCCCCCCCCCCCCCCCCCCCCCCCACCTCGTATGAGCATCATTGTATGATGTAATGAGTGTTTTTACAAGGTTGTTTATGAAGACCAAATATGTTTGTCATGGCCCGGTTAGTCCGCATGCCAATTGTCTTGTTAATCGGTTGGTGTGAACAGTAATTTCACTTGTAAAAAATTGCAGGTGGGGGGGGGGGGGGGGGGGGGGGGAGGGGGTAGGAAAAAGCCGTTTTTGCTCTTTCAATTGTTATAATCGGGCTTCTTTCAAAAAAAGAGCCCAGAAAATTGCGAGAAGTGCGCGAAACTATGCAAATGATTTCTTTTTTCATTCAAGCGTTCTAACATTTTATTTTTCAAATATGCCTTGCCGTGAAAGAACACGTGTGAAAGTGCAAAAACATGATCTTCGTAGAAAGTGAAATATAGCGTGCACAGTCCGTGCCAATTCAATAACTTTTGTGCATTTAAAAAAATTGTGTATCGGTATCTATGAGACAATATGTGGCTCTTGTAAGCTATTCCCCCCTCTTTTGAAACTTGTTAATTATTCCACCGTTATTTTTGAGATGTTGAATGCGCATTTCTGACCGGCTAAGTTTAACTGAAATTAAATTTCCTACATTTAATCTCAGTAGGACTACACTTTAGGGTCTATGAAGTAGTATTCGATAAACGAAATAGATGAAGTTTTCAAAAAAATTATCCCAAATGTGCTAAGTTTGCAAATTTTGACCCCAATAGTTTTACGAAAATCAATCACAGGTGAAATATATTTTAAACATTGAGCTGAGGACAACAATACCCTTTGAATTCTATAAAAATATTCCGTCAAAATGGAACCAGTTCAAAACATTTTTTTATTTTATCCTATTATATTTTTGATAAACTATCTCTGTACAATACTTATAACTAACCAATCAGCATCCATAACTAACACTTACAATTATTTGTAAGGCTGAAACTGTTTATAGTTTCAGTCAGAAGAGATTAAATTTAACTTAGCAAAAAGTTGCTCTTCCTAGAATAGTTCTTGGTATCAAGCTTCGCCCATACCAGTGTACACTAGATCTATTGAGAGATCTATTAAGAGATATAAGTGTAAGATTAACATTGGTATTAGACTAAGAAGTTGCACGAATATATCCGGCCGAAAATAAGGTAGCCTGACGAACAGACGGTATACCTTATCTAAAATTACTCTATGCGTGAGCCATCCCGGACTTAAACTCATCTGATGCGACCAAGAGTCTCGATCAAACCTCTAAAAATTTAGAGTTAACAAAGACACAATAGATATAAGATCAAAAACACACCACAAAATGTGAAACAGTATTGAAAACTTATTGTGCTTACTTCACCGTCTCAATAAGTCTATTCAATTCAAACGAGTAATCAAACTTACCCCAGGTCAAAACCCAAACAACAACCGAGCTTCTACACCGTGAAACGAAAAAGCAGACTGAAACGATTAATTCTCAACAAATTTATCAATGAAAAACTTTTTCATTCACTTATAAGAATTACCTTACTTGGAGCAGTAGGATTCATAATCAAGCTATATATCTCTCATTGATGTATAAATATCAATTTTAAAAATATCAAATCGATTTCGGTCAATCGTTTATACAAACTTTTAAAACTTTATGATTTCAAAATTTTTTGAAAAAAATTTAACAAAAAACTAATTACTAAATTTATTTATATTAATTTTCATCACAAACAAAAAAATCTCTGCTTCTCAAGAAACTCTGTCTGCTTTGCTTCTTTGTTTCTTCAACCAAACAATAACACACAATCAGTCAAGAAACTAATCTCATTTAAACTTAAAACTCTAACCTTTTCTTAAACTTTTAATCTTTCATACAAATCTTTTCAAGGTCTATCCTTGTTTTATTTCAATCTAAACATTTCTTTTAATAAATTAAATATTAACACCCCTTTTAATAAATTAGTAAAATAGTTTTTAGTTTTGTATTAAAGTTTCCAATTTTGCTGCATTCTGATTGGCCGAAAAATCGGTTAACTTAATCTACTTAATAATTCTCCTCCTTTCGGTCAGTATTCAATATATTGGCCATGGTTCAGCTCGTTTAAAAAAATTGAAATTTACTGACACCTTTTTTGCTGTATGAATTACCTTGAGATGAATTAAAGTTTTTGCTTCTTGAATAGCTCCCCGAAGAAAAACCATTTCTTCGCAATCCACTTCTCTCAAGAAACTAACAAGAATTATTTCAAAAGTTATTAGCTTTAATAGCTTGGAAAAAGTTTCGATTCGATAATTAAGAAAAAACATGAGCACTGTCAAAGTATCAGCGCTTGAATATCTTGCTAAAACTTTTAGAGAGCCGATAAAAATTTAACGCTATAAATTAATAGATAAAAAATCACGCTATAAATTAATTAACATGAAAAGCTTCGAAGATCAATGCTTGAATATCTTGCTTAGAATTTTTTCTAAATTTTTGTGGTTCGGTTCACGCGATATTATAACTTCATTGATTCAAAAAGTTCAACTCTTAATGGTGGGCGCAGAAAATTTAAAACATTTGCAAATCAATTCACGATATGGAAGAACTTGAATCATTTCCAAATTTTATTGCATGAATCTCTTGCTGAGAAAAATTTGAACTTTATGCAAATCGATTTTCAAAAAAAAAATTCTATCTAGTTCAAAAGTTTTCAGGCTTAATTGGTCTGCTCGGAAGTATTTATTTTTTGTTTTTTCAGAAAAATGTGTGTGCTCATATCTAAATATTTTGTTGATCAAATAGTTGTCTGAAACAATTGGAAGTTCATTGCACTTTCTTACAGCGCTCGATTTTCGCGGTATCAAATTATCAATTGGAGAATAATTTCGTGCTACAGGTATTTTAGCTAAGTTACACTGTTGTAAATCATACCATTTTATTCTTATTCACTTAATTAATCTTAAATTACTTTAACTGGTTAATTTAGATTTGACCTTGTTATGTTCATTCTCTCCGGCCGAGAGAATGCTCTCTCACTTTTTAATGTTTTAACTTTGAGATTAAGTCATTTTTTAAACACATTTTATCTGTAACTAAGTAGAATTAGCTGTAACAAAGAAACATTTTATCATGGTGCAGTCAAAAAGTAACGAATCAAACGTGAGAGGTATACCTTCATTCTGGCAAAATCACACGGTGGACCCACCAATTCCTTGGGAAGAGTGGAGCGACTTATTCCAACTAGCAATAATCGCAAAGGAACATATCGACATCAAAATCTTCTAAATCCAGCGGAACAATATCACCCACTCCCACCAACACTAGAAAACCCACCGGAATACGAAATCGATTCTCAAAAAACATCTCGTTTGGAGAGGAACATCCGCGAACAAAAGAGGTATGACGACGAAGAAATGGCTTCTATAAAGTCAGAAACTAAAAAATTCAACGGCATGAGATTAGAAGAGGCGGACAAAAAACTCAGGTCCATATTCTATTTAGCCCTCGTAAACGAAGGAAAGAAAATATTTGGCCAAAAGTTCCCGAGAGTTAAATTTCTCCAAATTTCCTTCAAAGACTTCTGGGAAAACTTGTCTTTTAGCATTCGTGAGAAAGACAAACGTAACCTTCGAAAGTCAAAAGCTTTTGAATAGAAAACAGAGAGACAGAGAATCGTTGGAGCAATTTTGGTGAG